CCCGTTTCCCCCGCTTTGACCCACTTCCGGTCTTCCAGTTAGCGGCCAAATGAACCAACATGGCCGTTCAAGCGACCTTCTGCCGTTTTAGTTGTTTCCCCGATCCCTAATGAATATGAAGGGAAGTTGCCTGCATAATTTAAGGGGGGAGGAGGGGAGAAGCCCAGCCAGAACAGACAGAAACTGACTGCATCGAATGGCATGCGTTTGGCCATCGGAGTTTTTACGAGGCGCCTGCTGGTCAGCTGGTCATAAAAAAAACACGCACAGCTTAACCAAGACAAATGACAAGGAAGTGTGTCGGAAAGGGGGAGCTACAGAGGGGGGGGTCAGGAGGTCACAAGGCGGGAAGAAAGAGGGGGAAAGGGAAAGGGGAAGGGGGATCAGGGGGGCCAGGAAGTGGTCCAAATTCGGGCGGTCCTTGGAAGTGTGTGCAATGACAAAAAGCCAACTGATTAAAGTTGCTGATTGAATGGCACGAGGCTAGAACACTCACTAACGCACACACGCATGCACTGAGAGAAAAACAGGACAAGAAGTGAGTTTGGAGGTGGATAACTAGATAAGAACACACGAAATGCAACCAGATTAGTTGGGACAAAGTATTAATACTTGAAAAACTATATGAATTATTTGAACAACACAAACCTCTCGAGAATCTTATGCAAAGTGTTTCTAGACTATGTATGTACGCCATATGTGCCTCCCTTTTTCGCTCAGTGCTGCGCTGGCATAAATAAGTAAATGCAAAAGTCAGAAAGTTGACAGGGAAACGAAACGAAACGAGGCGCACGTCACTAACTGCGGATGAAGGATGAAGGACGAAGGATGAAGGGCGAAGGCCAGGGGCTTCCGATCCAAAGGGGATCCAAGGGGGGTACATGGACGGGGGAAGGGGGCAGGGCACGCATTTGTCAGGCAAACGGCAGAACGGCAAAAGATGTTTGACTGTTTGACGCTTTGACAGCTGTGGCAGCGGCAATGACAGCGGCAGAGCGGCAGAGCGGCAGAGCGGCAGAGGTAGTCGCAAAATCAAACGAGAAATATGCGCGTCGATTCGCCGCTTTCGTCACTAGACTTACTCTATGTGCCAGCGGGTTGGGTTTGGGTTTGGGTTCGGCTTTCTGGCTTTCTGGGTTTTTGGGTATTTGGGCTTTTACCAGCGATTCGGGCAGGGGAAATGGAACGTCATCTTCAATGGGACATTTCCACTTTGTCAGCCATCATCGTACTTGTCGTCGTCGCCGTCATCGTCAATGGTCGCCAGGGAGCGACTGTTCGCCATGACGACGTCTGCTTTGAGTTCCCCGCCCCTCCAGCTCCTCCCGCTGCTCTCCCTTTCAGCCGCCCTTTCACTGGGAACAGGTCCGCCCAGCCACCTAACCCCATGGCTAGTCCCCCAAATATATTTCACCGCACGTTCTCCTGCCACTTAGGAACGCTTTTCGGTTATTTTTAATATGAGTACGTGACTTTTCCGCTGCCACTGCGTCGCCTTTCGCCGAGAAGCGCTGCCAGCCAGCCGGGGATGTGGCCTTCCTGGCCGAGCTCTAATTAAATGCAGGCCCGAGCCGAATACGGGGATCCACTACACTAATTTGCGAAGGAGTTCGATCAAAAAGCTTCCCCTTCCCCGTGTAAATAGTAGACTGAGGGGAACAATCGAAGAGGTTTGCGACTCAATTTACTCTCTCTCTTTGGAGTGTGGTTAACTCTGGGTTATAATCACAGCTCTGTGATCCCTGATCCTCATTTAATACCTAAGTCTCTCTATTCAAATGGTTAATAAATGGTTAATAGCCACGCAGGCCAGCACTCTTAAATCCACAACTCTGGCCAGAAGGTAGAAAGGGAATGCCTTCTTTAAGCCAGCAGCGCAGCGGCCAAGGAAACGGATGCCGGCCACCCCGTTCGAGCCAGGCGTTTCCGCATTTCGGCCGGGCCAACACACAAACTCGGACACACACACACACAGAAACCCGACACAGACACACACACCAACGCAGCAGCAGCAGAAGCAGACGTAAAGTACAAATGTGCCAAATGATAACATTTTTGGCCCGCCCGCCCACGTATCTCACGGGCGAAACTGGCGACCAAAGTCGAATCTGCATCCTCGTGCTAATACATGTGTGCACTGAGAGAAAAGCCCGCAAGAAGGCCACACGAAATATGAAATGGGAAGGAGGGAAGGGAGTGCCCTGCCCTGCATTTATTCCCAGCTCTCTATTTCGGACAGCTAAATCAATTTCCATTGATTGAAGCACACTTCCCCCTCTCTTTTTTCCCAGTGCAGTGAGCCTTTCAGCTCCTTCGGCAAATTTGACCAACTGCTCGGTGTTTTGGGGGTCGCTGCGTGCGCCGGATTGCATTCCTTGGATGCTCATTTGGTCCGCTTGCACTGCGCTTTTACTGCCACGCCCACACCTCAACGCACACGAACACAAACACTAACCCACTAACACACACACACACTCGCACACACGCAGAGGGGGATTTTTCTGTTGCTGTTGATGCGATTTTATGTATTTCCATGATGCGCTTATTCGACTACGGCATTATCCTGGCGAAGCCACGCAGCGCTTTCCATGCATACAAATTGCTAAATTATTTAAGCAGCGACAACGGGCCAGATGTGGGGAAAGCCGAGGAAAAGGCGGAGAGAGGGGAGGGGAGGGGAAGCAGGCGGAAAACCCGGTCGAGAGCAGTGGGTTTGAGGCGGAGAAGCTGCTATTAGTCCAAGTTGTCCTGTCCGGTAAGTCCGTCGGTCGAGGGGGCAAAGGGGGCGGCCAAGGGGCGCAGCTTAGGTACGGACACGTGTGCGTGTGTGTGTGTGTGCATGTGCGTGTGCGAGTGTGAGTGCTTGCGGCCAGTCCAATAATAAATAAGTGGCCCAAAGCAAAGCATACTTTTGTGCGCCGTTAAACTTTCTGCGTAAATTCAACGTTCATCATGGCTAACTTCGTTTCCCTTTTGCCCCGCCCCTTCACCCCGCCCCCTCCACCCGTCGCCCCCTTCCATTAGCCGCTGCCATTATATACAATTGCTGTCTGCCACACTCACACACACACACACACACACAAACACTGGGAGAAAGGTGGACACAATCACCAGTTGTTGGAGGGAATTGACAAGCAGCTCTCTGACAAAAGCAAATTGATACAAGACGAACAGAGGTGCTCTGCTTGCATTGAACCTCAAATTGAACACATTGTTCGCAGTCAACTAACTGTTTACCACCAGCACTGTCAATATACCAAGCAGTTATTAATAGCAGTTATAAACAGTTTCTCTCAGTGCACGGACACACACACGCTCGCCACAGTGGGCAACACAGTTGAGCAACTCGAACATGGGCTTTTGGCCTGGCGGCGGTTGCGCGGTCACCGGGCCAGTGGTCACTGTACCGGGGCCACCATACGCATTCAATTCAATTTGAAATTCATGGCATTAACTTTAACTTCAACTTAAGTCCGCCGCATGCAACTTGATAAAATGTCTGCGAGGTCCTGCGACACGAGGCGTCCTGGGAAGGGGGAGGGGAAGAAGGAGAAGGAGAAGGAAAGGGGGAAATGGCAAAGGGGAAAGAGGAAAGAGGAAAGAGAGAGCAAAGGCTTTTAACTTAGTTTGTGTGCGTTGATGTTTTTCTTTTCTGTTGCAGTTTCATAATTTGATTGCATACTTTTCGGACTGCCCATTAACACGATACGTGCGAGTGTGTATGTAAGTGTGTGTGGGTGAGGGGGGCGCCCTCTGTGTGCGTGGGCGCTTTTAGCTAGCTAATTGCGGCCAATTGGCCAAAGCAAAAGCGCCGCAGAAACTGAACAGAAACAGAAACAGAAACCCAACAGGCAGTGCAATGTGTGTTCTCAACTCAACCAGAAAAAGACAAACCGCTCATGAAACGTTCATAAAATATGGCGAAAAGTGTGTGAAAAGAGTGCAGCCATACAGTTGTATTTATGCTAACTAGTTTGCAGCAGTGGCAGCTGCATAAACAATTCCCTGCGACGCGCTCAACTTCCACGGACCAACTCGTGGCGAACAAATTTCGGTAATTAAACTACATTCTCATTCGCATTCGCATGAAAGGGAAACGGAAATGGAAAGGGAAAAGGGAAAATGTAAAGTGGCAAAGGGAAAAGGGAAAAGCGGGAAGGGAAACAGCGCATTTGTTCACAAAAACATTGATTGTTCTTAATTGCGAAATGGATGGCTGATAAACTCGTTCGGTGGCGTAATAGTTTCAATCGATGCTAATGAATGGGCGGCACTGAATGTTTATAAGCGGAAAAGATCAATGGGCAAATGATTTGTTTTCCATTGCCAGGATATACGCATCTGTGAAATCTATTCTAAGCATTGAGGGTCGAATTGCTATCTGCACAAAGTCCCATATTGAGCCCATAAACTAGAGTATTCCCGGGAATTAGGAAACCAACAGGTTGTGCAAATGAAGAGGCAACCTGGCAACGTGGTAATGGCTCTCCATTAAAAATGCAGCACTCTGCGGTGCCTCAGTTTGCATCGCATAGCTGCGCATATTAATGTTAATGCCGCTGAAAATTTAATGAGGCAATCGCCCTGCAGAATTCACGAGCCGCAAAAGGCGCAATCAATCAGTTAATTGTGTTCGCATAGAGTTTCTTGTCGGATCGCAATAAATTTGCAATTTGTAAGGCAAAGCGAGCCAATTACCGCACACACACAGGCCGCACATTGGCTTTAAGTTGGCCAAGGAGGCCGCAGTTCGCGGCTGGCCAAATATGAATATAAATAAAGCTATCGGCCATCCTGGCTGGCAGTTCGGGCCAACTTTATGGCCACTCGAGGCTCCGCCGAACTTGCAACTTCGAATCACGTCGCTTTATTAGTTCAACTTTCATCGCCCGCCGATTTCTCGGGTCCCCAGATCCCAGCCAGCTTTCCCAGCTTTTCCCATTTTCGGGTGGAGAGTGCTACTACTACATCTACCATTGCTACTGGTTCGTTCGACTCACCTACTGACGTTTATTGAATCAAAACCGTTCGATGCTCCGGCGCTTTGGTTTCGCTCCAGTTTCAGTCGCTCCGGGTTTCCTGGTCCAACTTGCTGCTGCTTTGTTGCAGCGCCGTAAAAAAAGGAGTGGCACTGCAAGAAAGATGTATCGCAATTGAAATAAATGTGTAATTTGTGGTGTTTCGATCGATTTTGAAGTGCTGTAAATGGGAGTAGCGATGACAGAATACGGGTGATCCAGCCAAGCCTTTTGCCTGCGAAAATGATTAGTAGCAACGCTATAATTTACACTTTCTGAGGGGAACCCTTCAATTGCTTTCAGTTTTTTCTCGTGCAGGGGAAAATGTTTGCGCGAAGTGGAAAAACAAAAGAGATTTCCCCACGGAGCGTGTGCTCAGCTAACTGCTAAGCCTTTCAGCTCCATCGTGCCGTTGCCCACATGCACACACCCAAACACACACACACCACCGAACACTCACCGAAACATACACACACACCCATCGAAAGACACACAACCGAACGAACGAGCAAACATTTAAAATCGCCGGGTCATGATTCAAGCACTCAGTCAGCTGTATTTTATTGAATTAGGGCGGAGCGGCGCTGCTGTTCGATGGGCGGATCGGATCGGATCAGGTTGGATTGGGGAGTCACAGGGGGAGGGGGTGCTTCAAAGGGGCGCCACAACAAATGCGACGCCTGGGGCCAAAGCTGCGATATGGATGCAGGAGCTCCAGGCCCGCGAATCCTGGTCTTTGGTCCTTTGCTCCTCGGGTGCTTTCCGCTTCCACGTTCGAATCTGAATGTGGATGTGGATGTGGATATGGAAGTAGTATGGAAGTGTATATGGATGTGGCCCAGCACCCCCAATAACTTCATAAATCAAAGCGTTTGCTCAGTCATTTTTAGAATTTGTTCGCCACTGCCACTGCTGCAATGCAAACGAAACGAAACGAATTCCCGGCCAGCGAAACTCGCATGCAAAACTCGCATGGGAGCGGCCTTTGTTCCAACTCCTTTTTCTGTCGACGGGGGTTCCACCGAAAGGTATTCACTCGGACTGAACTAGACAACAATATGAACTCTGCTTGGGTTAAGGTGTTTCCCAGTTGATGATTATAATAAGTATTGTTCGTTCGAACTCAAAATAGGAACAAACAGCAACAGAACTCTGCTGAACGGCACATTAGAAATTAGAAGTAAATTATTCACAGCCAAAGAGGAGTCGCATCAAATCAGAGAAACCGAATCCTTTAAGAGCATCGAATATTCGAGTCCCTCTGCCGGGGCAGAGCTCCTTTGTCCTGTCCCATTTGGATTTCCATTGTTGTTGCAATTGCTCTGGTTGCATTTTTTCCCGTTTCGGCTGTCTGCCTTTTTGCCTTTTTGCCTTTTTGCCTTTTAGCCTTTTTTCGCGCTACCTTTTCGCAGAGGAATGCTCACCTGTTTGCTAGATGTTCGCCTGCTGGTTGCTGGTTGCTGGTTTCTTTGCCATTCAATGCCCCACCGCCATTGCCACCCACAAAGCTTTCCCCCCCTTCCCCCTCCCCCTGTTGGTGACTTCAATTACAAATGCGGGAGGGAAGGGGGCGGCTGTTCATCGATGTGTCGCGTGTGACATTGTCATTTGTTTAAGCTTTATTAATGGTTTTTTGGCTTTGTGCTGCGCAGTCTGGCGAAATGCGAATGCCAAATGCGAATTGCGAATGGCGAATGGCGAATGGCGAATGCGAAATGCGACTTGTTGTGGGTGGGTGGCACCCCCACACAGCACTCGAGAGCAGGCAACACTTTTTGTCCTCGCCGAGTGCTCTCTAATTAGTGCTTGTTTACGGGGCCTCAAAACTCTTGGCTTGGCAGCCGGCGCCTTCAAGTATCCAAGCAAGTTTCGCAAAATACGATTTGCATATTAAACCAAAACTTGCGAGCGGGAAAGCGGGGAAAACCAGGGGGAAATGTTAGAGCAGCGAGGCGAACTCATTGAAATTGAACGGAAATTTTGCGCCCAAGTTGAGCGAAAGTTGAAGAACTTTTCCCCGTTTCTTGTTTTTCATGTTTATGGATTTTTCTAGCCACTTGCCTTTCGCATCCCGTATTGCCTTGTTGTTGTTTGGCCTGGCTTTCTCTGTTTGCCGATTATATTTTCCCTCCCCCCGATCCGCGGTGCAGCCTTTGCAGCCACTCCCCCTTCTCCCCCTCCCCTCGAGTTTTGTTTACACGCTCGCTTTGACTCGCCCGTGGAACAATGAATGTCACTTTGGTCTAGACCCCAGACATTGCCCTCGGCGGTGCGGTTATCCTGTCGGTTATCCTGGCGCGGGAAACGCGAAGCGGGCATACCCTTCGCTCGCCCAGAGTTTCTTCTATTCCTCGCCAGGTTGGTTGGTTGGTTATCATCCCAAAGCAAAGGGAACTCCTTACTTTCGAAGGAATTATATCTGCACTCCCACTTTAAAGATTCAACTCCGATCTTGATCCAAATTCAGCCGATGCAAGGTACTCGTATTTTCGCAACAGTTTCGCTTTTGGCAGAGTAATCGCCTCAAATATTTTCGAGCATAATTTTTGTTTGTGAGCTGAGAGCTGAGAGGCAGGGATTGCGGGCTGAGGGCTTAAGTTAAGGGGGGGGTTTAAGGGGGGTTAAGGGGGGAGGGGGGAATGCGACCTGGCCCGGGGTCACACGTGAAACGGGGTAAGCTTATAAGTTCATAAAGTTGCGGATGGACGCACGTGTCGTTGCCTTTTCAATGACGACACAACTCAACTTGTTTGCTTGTTTTTCTTTTTCTTTTTTTTATTTGCCATCGATGCGGCTGACCTTTTGCTGTTTGCTGACTCTGACCCCTGACCCCTGTTGCCATTTTTGTTGCCATTTTTGCCGCTTTTCGCCGCTTTCTGTTGTTCGCTCGTTGTTGCCGCAGCAAGGGATTACATTTTTGCAGCGACATTTGAAGAAAGGCCCTTTCGCTCGTTCGCTCTTTCGCTCTTTGGGTCTCTTTGGGTCTTGTGGCTCTGTGTTGCAATCGGATTTATCGCATTACGCATACGCACTGCTGCCACCAAGGATGCACCCCTTTCCCTTTCCCTTCTCATCCACCCACATCTCCACGCACATCCCCTGATGGCATCAGCCATCAATTTAGCGTCGTGTTTATGGTCATTTTGCAGGGCCAAAGCGTTAATTAAGCCAGCTGGCTGCAAACTGTTGTTGTTGCTGTTGCTGTTGCACTGTTGTTGCTGCTGTTGCTGTTGCTGTTGCTGTTGCACTGTTGCTACTGCCATATTGCCACATTCACTCCTGTGGAAGGAGTCCAAGTTGCGCCTGTGTTCTATGTTCCGTGTGCCGTGTGCCGTGTGTTTGTGCAACTCAATCGATTATTCATCGAATATGCTAATGGCCAAATCACTGAGCCCGGCTAAAACCCCCAATTAAGGCCTGTAATTGCGGTCCGCTCAACTTTTCGGTGCTCATTAAATATAACTGCTCGGCTGGCAAAGCCAAAACTAAACTAATATTTTAAGTGGTATTTTAAGTGATTTCAGATGTGAGTTCTGAGTTCCGTGAACAGAAATCCCAAAAATATGGCTTTTTTCCAGCGGAGAGAACAAGAAGACTTCCCTGAGCGACTCCCAAGTAGTTTTCATTTGAGTGGAGCCAATTGGAGCTTTAATTGGAGCGGATAATGCTTTCCGATTGAACGGTTACGAGCTGTCATTTAACCCCTAGGTGGGCACAGAGGGCCATTTCGCCCTCACCTTGTGGCGTCTGGGCAAAGAATAATGATCCCAGCAGCCGCAGCCGCAGCTCCCATCATAAACTAATAATCTTTTGTGGCCAAGAGCAGCTCGAGCTTCACTTCACTTTTTGGCCCTTTCTTTGCTTTCGCTGGCACAATGAAATCGTTGGAATTCCTTGCCAATTTTGTAAACAACAATGAACAGGCAAGTGTCGGTGTCGTTGGCGTCCTGATGGGGCATGGGGCAGTGGGGCATGTGGCATTGGGAAGTGGCAAGGGGGGGACATCGCAGCAGCTCCTGCATTATTCTGCTTGTTAAACAGTTGACGGTGGCCTTTGACTGGCGACGCCAAACACTGCCAAAAACACCAACAAAAGGGCCAGCTGGAAAATAAGCTGAAAAAAGGCGGCAGCGCACAGAAATGCAGAAACAAAAAATAATGGCTTGACTTTCAATTGCACAAGGACAACAGGAGCAGCAGCAGGACGAGCAGCAGGACGAGAAGGACGAGCAGAGCAGCCAGCGGCAATCAACAAACAACACAGCAGCAGGAGAAGCAGCAGCAGCAGCGCCGACAACAATAAAAGGTCCTGTGGGTGGGGAGGGGGTGGTGGTCCTGCGGCGGGGGACATCAAAATCAATTCGAGCACGGAAACTGCTGCAGTTGTTCAGTTGAACGGCCTGGACACACAGAACGGCTGGAAAAGCTGGAAAAGCGGCTGGGGGAGGGAAAGCGCACTGGAGGAAAAGCACCGAGGAAATGTTTCATGAAAATTCCACCGAAATCCGAGCGAAATAGTTGCGCCACTCGAAACTCCGGCGCAATGGAAATGCCGAGCCGAAAGTATTCCGAAGTCAATAGAAATTAAAGCCAAGCCAGTTCTCAATCTCGTATATCGCATCGCACTGAAGCAGAGAAGCAAAACAACTGCCATCCAATTCTCTCTCGTTTTTCTTAGTGTACTGGAGTCATTTCCGGAAAGGATTCCCATTGTTTTTACTGCTGTGGTTGTTGCTGTTGTTGTTGTTGCCGCTCAGCAGGCTCTGCAGAATATGCATCGATATAAATGAATTGGTGGAGTCAAAAAGAATGGATGCAAAAAGGATGCACACGCGTTAAGAGGGGAGACTAAAAAAAAGGGGGAAAATGGGGAAAAGGGGGTGGGGAAAAGGACAATGCCGCAAAACATGGAATCAACTTTAGTGGCTGAAATTTGAATTTAGATTGAAAGCTCTGCGCAAAGTGCAGAAAGAATAACGATCGCATATCAATCCCTGCCTATAAGCATTATTCTTTCGATATTAATTCCCAGAAATAACTCGGCTGTGGAGGATTATAATGGATTATAATAATTACAATGCGGATTGGGAGCACTTACTCCGCATTTCTACTC